CTAAATTACAATAAATAAGAAAATTACCAATCACAACAAATAAAGGCTATTCTATCCCGTCTGGATAGACCACGTACAGATCCGTTCAAAAGGTAATATTGGTCGCTCTATAACAGTGTTTTCAATTCTGGAAGAGTGCTTCACTTCACAACCAAAATGCACAATTCCAGTCAACACAGGTCTAGCAATCAAAGCAGGAACAAACCAAAATGGCTGCCGCCAAGACTAAGTGTCAAGTAAAACAACATAAGTGCAGTTCGGGAAGAAACATAGGGAATTAGTGAAGGTGTAGTAAAAACGAAAACTATAATAAAATACAAATATTAACAATTCAAATGTAGCCAAAAAGTTAACAATGTACAACTAAGAGGATCAATAGGAACAAAGTGCAAGTAAATACATGGAGGGATTTTCACAAACACACAAAGCATTCAAAATGGATCTTACACGCTCCTCAGATGCTATGGTTCAACGATGGAGTATTGCTTTGAGTGCATATGACTATACGGTTCAGTACAGAAATGCAAACAAATTCAACACGTTGACTACATTGCTCGACAATCATTACAAGATAGACCTGCTAATACTTCAGAGTGTTTGTTAGTGCGACCTTTACCAGTGAGACGTCCAGGTCTCATAAGAGAAACTCGTAGATATTTTGGAAGTATACTTAGTGCTATACGGAAAGGCTGGAATGCCAAACATAGATTGCCTGTCTACTTATCAAAGCGAGATGAGCTATTCACTACTCATGATGGTATTTTATGTTTAAATGATCGTGTTGTTATTCCTCCTTTACTGCGTAAATCTGTCCTTGAAGATCTTCATAGTGGACATTAGGTGTTGAGAAAATGAAGTCCTTGTCAAGACTAACATGCTGATGGCCAGAGGTAAACTCAGATATGTCGTACAGCAAACAATTGTGAAAAATGTCATCAGGTGAAAAATCATCCTTCAAAGTGAACTCCATGACCAGTATCGTCTGAGGCCTGGCAGAGAATTCATACAGACTATTGTGCTCCGTTTCCTGGCAAATACTCTGCACTTGTAGTCATTGATTCTTTTCACCAAATTCTGATTTCACAATCCAAGCATTAAGAAAGGTGTTTAGTCGAGAAGGGGTTCCCATGGTGTTAGTGACCGATAATGGCTCCCATTTTGAGGCAGATGCAGTCACTTCCTGGTTGAATTGTATATGGTGCAAACATCTGTTTACAGCTCTCAGACATCCTTGTTCTAAGGGTCAGGCAGGACATTTTGTCAGTACATTGAAAACTGATGTTGATTCTATTGCCGCCTCAACATTTAATGAGCTAGAGAGGGGAATGTATACTTTTCTACTGCAAAATAGAAAAGCCAGACATTCTGTCACGAAAGAGACTCAATCAAAGCCATCAAAAGGAAGAATTCTTCGGTCGAATATGAATTGTTTGGAGTCTGCAGAAGTTACATATTATCATGGAAATGATCTTTGACCATCCACGGAGATTGTGTTGAAGAATGTCGGAAAATCGATGGTGTGAATTCTAGACATCAAGGACTTAAGTACACACAGTCGATATGTTGATCAAATACAATTTCAGGAACCAGGTGAGTTTGTCCCAATTTCGGTTGTTAATTCTAATGCTAATGCGTACATTCTAGATTATACAGAGTCCTTATCCAATACACTGTCCAACAGACACAGGATGAACGTGCGAAGAAAACGTACAATTGATCACAGACACCTAGACTTCAATTTAAGCTGTGGTGGATGTGGTGTTTAAATCAACTAATGATTCCTTTTTACTTGTTGAATGCTTGACTTCGAATTCCAAATACAGTACATTCGTCTGTGCTTATCTTGTACTTCTTGATCCAATTGCGTTGTTTCTGGGATTCTTAGTTCATTATATAATTCATATACTCCCAATCACCATAGCGATTTAATGTTGGTATATTATAAACATTTATCAAACGAAAAAATTTGAGGTATTTTATAATTTGAGTGTGTTTTAACTCGCGAGATTTTATAACTTCACACTTATTATAATGAGGTTCTCTGTAGAATACACCAACAAACTTAATTGGAGCTGATTAGCTTATACAGAAAGATCTAGTTTAGAAAAGCTTCTGGTTAGTTAACGATAGCAGACAATGTTAGTAAGAGTGTATGTTTATAAAGCACCGCAAAACGTAGGGAATTGTATATGATTTTATTTGCGGTTAATCGTATTTTTATTTACAATCGATGAAAGTGGCATGTCAACACTATTGGGGATTGCGACAAAAATTTCTGTAAATAAATGGTTCTTCTCACGGAAGACCAAGGCAAACTAAGGTGTGCATTTCGAAATCTGTCTCCTTCAACGAAACATACCAGTGAACTTTTCCACTTTACCAGAGCTGGCGATTTAGTACCGCCACTGGATAGAAGTGACGATAAAGATTTATTTCTGAATTTTCACACTAGTGTCAACGTAGAAATATCAGCTGAATACACTACAAACGTTTAGATAATAAACATGCGTGATATTCTAGTTTAGTGCATCAAAATGGTCTGCAGAAATTTTATGATTGATTTAGAATTTTGCAGTAACAGATAAGTGCTTCATGGTGTTTTATTTTTCATAATAATCGCCAACTTGCACATGCGTTATTAATGAATAGAATTGAGCTATCTGTTGCAAAGCTTTTGGCCATGTTGTTGCCTAAATATTTTAAATTTTGTATGCATCATTTGCTCGCACTAAATTCGGGTGAAAACTGTCGAGAAAGTTCAACTAACTGCAAATTAGTTGATTCATGGAATTGAGATGCTGCTGTACGAAGAAAAACTGGCATAAGTAAATCGATCCCCATTTTCATACAGAAGGACTATGGGTGAATTGGCCTTAGATTTTTACATTACTTTATCATACATTCGCTTGTTACATGACTTCATTTAACTTATCTTCAAGACGGAGAATTTGTGAGCATTCTTTAGAAATGTTCAGAAGCTTAGAATAAGTTACTTGCCATCCATCCATTAACTTTCACATCAGATTATCAATGAGTGGGGCCCGTAACCTCAACACATGAATAAATGTCCTCCTAACGACATGAGATAAAGAAAGTTTGAGTAAGACCATCATTGCAACTATTGAGATCGAAACTGATGGCTTCATGTTCCTCTGAGATCTTGCAAGTAGTGGTCTAAAGAACCACTGACAAGCTAGGAAAGTATGTCAGCTTGTTGTAGAATTGTAAATCTCTCCTAACATTTTCTTGGACATATCATTTCTCTGAGTTTGAATTCGATAACCATCAAGGTTTGGTTTAGATTGTTGATCAGGAGTAAACAACTGTTATTAACTGAAGAGTGATATGAAACGAAGGAAGGTTTTTCAAAAAATCATCGATTGTTTAGTGTCTCAAGAAACTCTCTGCCCGACAGAATGCAATGATGAAGGATTTTCATCAAAACTGCTGGGACCCTCGGTTGAAATGGTAGTGTCCGTTGATATGCTCAGCACACACATATTATTCTAGTTTCTGAACGGGCCGATCTATTCATTATTCTTGATCACTTTTTGACCTTGTTGATTATCCACTTATCAACTTTCACTTTTTCATACGAGCGTATGTGTGTGTATATCTTATCCTGCTCATCACATGACTGAAGGGCTCCACTAAAAACGTGACATATTAGATCACCGATGTCTCAGTAAAGTTTCAAAAGTGCTTTCGACAACTAAATGCGCTTCCTTATCATATGTCAAACTGGCTTTCTGATACAGGGCTCAACCTGAAGGCCATTCTTCTTATTATAGTACATGATCATCCTGTTTAATTCTTAAGAATTTCAGACTTATATACGTGGATGATCGTTACGCAAGGACAGAGATGGTCGGATCAACTGATATTGTAATTTTTCAAAAAGACTTACATAAGATAAAAGGCTGGACCACCTAAAACTTCCTTCCCCCTTATAACCAATTAGTATAGGATGATAATGATGAACGGCAATGATAGTCCATAGACGTAATTTATAGGAGATATCAGTGCCACACTTTTCTCCACTGAAATTGACCATTGTCTCTTTCCACTGACAATCTACATTCAAAACGCATGCTGACGCTTGGGATTGCATTTTAGTAGAGTTGGTAACTTCACTCTAGATCTGTTCAAAAATGTTTTTAGTGCTTACCTAAGACATCATTTAGCGAAAGGTACTGGGTTGTATTTCCTTACCTCAGGAACAAAATTACTCTTCTGAAACGTATAAAAAGAAAAAGAACCGAAAAGGCAGTGGTACCGAAACGTGTCACTAAGCTATCCTCAGAGCTCATAACATGAAGTCAGCCTACTTTGGGATATATATGATCATGATGACGTAATCTCCATAGTTCTCTCCACCCGAATAAACCTCACATATATTTCAGAAGCAAGTAACACTTAAAGGGAGATCTACTGAAAACGCAAAACGAAGAGCTTTGCACGAAGATCTATGAAAACGCTTTCACAGTTGCATTCAGTAAGTTATAGTACATCCTACAAGAAATATGATGATGAAACCCAGTGTGGAACCTTTCTAGGGCTCGAAGACCACCTTACCTATTTAGGAAATAAAACTAATTATCCAAAGAACAACCAAAATGTGGCTTCTACCACCGTCTGCTCTTATTATGTAACAGAAATATAACAAGAACCATATTCCGAGGTAACTCAGCCATAGATCCCAAGGAACAAACATGTCGCTAATTCCGAAAAGCAAAGTTGAAATTAAAAAAACTTTAAAACTGAGAATGAAGGATACGCTAGTTAGTTAAACAGCATTTGTTCCAATAGTCAGCAGCTAGAACTGTGCTTTCACACATTAATATATCATATGCCGCTGTTCGCCAAACTAATAATTTATGCACTGGATCAATTGGAATTGCAAAAGTGAGCAGAAAAATTACGATTTTTTGATACATTAACCGTAAACAACCTCAAACCTAGAGAATTGTTTGAAATGTTTACTTTTCACAGCCAGAGGTCACCGATTTTTTAAAACTAAACTTGTGTATTCGTTAGTGACAAGGTAATTTAATGCTATCGTTTTCACGTCTCAACAAAATACATAATATGACGAAGGACGTCACTTGTCGTGGCTAATGAACAGCAAAAGTCACTTTTATCTCTTCGTGTTAATTTATATTGGAATTTGAGATGACTTTATCTCATATGTTGCGTTCAAATGATGATATTTCCTTTTTTACTCAACTCTCAAACGAATGTCGTGAGTTGAAATTATGTGTTTGAAGTTTAACGGCTTTCGGGTGCCAGATTTACGTTTTACTGTGGGCCTGAATTCCTTCATCCTTCTCTTCTAATACTCATGAAAACGTTTTTGTGGTTACACGTATTCGATAAGCAAGATTTCCACAAGAATATTAGATAACTTTGATGAACAAATTAAACAACTTGAAAGGACAACACCAAGATGAAAACTTTCTTGACATATTTACTAATATGACTTGATATACTTGCAGTTACTTTAGCACACTCAACTGTTGTAAATATTGTATGGCTTCAGTCTAACAATTTAGATCGGAGTAATAATAACTTACCACGGTTAATTCTCGCATTATAGCCATGTTTCTGACTCCGATAAAATTTTGGTCGATGAAAATCGGGAATGTTTTGTTTCATGGTATTTAATACATAATCTTTGAGATTTTCAAAACTGAAAGATCCATAAATTATCCAACTTTTCTCTCAATAGTTAAACTGTTATTATCAAGAGCAAGTGCTCATTTGTTTTCAAACTGTACAAATTCCTTACAATAGAAATATAGTACAACCTTAGCTACCCTTCGCGCGTATAATGAAGTTAATTTATTGACTAGGTGACTTAAAAAGATGGACAAAATCCATAAGGTTAATTCCAAAAATTACTTTTTTCTTGTTTTTTGTCTTTGGCATAAATGACAAACCACAAAAATTACGTGGATAGCTCCAAGCATAAATGTAATCAAAAGAAAGCAATATAATAAACATAAACAGTGTTGGACTTTGAGCACATTCGCCAGCTTATTATTCAATCTGAACTGGTAAAGATTTTGACTGATTACCATACTAAAGCTAACTTTTGGAGAATTGTGCTACATAAAAAATAAGTAGCAGTGATGAAATCTTTTAGATATCATGGTTCTGCGGCCTACGTGGAAATGAGTTCTTTTGTGAAGGGAAGGATTACATCCAAGATCGATTCAACCTTACCGGTTTGTCAGAGCAAGTTCGTGAATACCGTGGTGCTCTCGATGTGATACTTGATTTGGAAACTGACCCTTCTGGTAATCCAAAAAATACTGATCTCGTTGAGCAAGCGGCTGGAATGCTTTATGGGCTAATACTTTCTAGATACATTCTGACAAATTGTGGTATTTTTTTATGGTGGCAAAATGGCAGCAAGGGGATTTCGGTCATTGCCCTTGAGTTTACTGTGAAAGCCAGCCATGTTTGCCAGTCTGTTTGTCAGACGTTCCTGGTGAAGCTATGGTTAAGATACATTGTCCTAGATGTCAGGATACCTATACACCGAAATCTGCTCGTCATCATCATACAGATGGAGCGTATTTCGGTACTGGCTTTCCGCATATGTTATTTTTAGTTCATCCAGAGTACAGACCAAAATGAGCTAGTAACCAATTTACTGCGGAATTATTTGGCTGTAAAATACATCCTTTGGCTTGTCAGCTACAAAAAGTTTTAAAATCTTGATATTTAAGCCACTTTGAGCATAACCGTAACACCAACATAAAATCAATCAACTGATTAAACTTGATTTATGGATTTATATCGGTCATATAACAATAAAATTAGTCTGTTTGCACAATAAACTAGAGAGTAAATTCCTGAGGCTACTTGATCAAGAAACTGTGATCACTTTTTGAATGGCCATTAAGCAAAAGTTTGCTTTTAAAAGGTTGTACAGAGAGACCACAAAACTGTAAAGTTAGAAGTTGACATAAACCATCACCGTATGAAGTATTAGGCTCAATGTCGTAAAACAATATCCTAATCAAATTTTTATTTCCGTTTATCACTTATTAGTTGTTGAGTATGAATGTAGTGTTTATTTTTGTCTTTAAACTTAGCAACCTTAACGCGACCCTGTGTTCTGTGTGATAAAGTTCATTTTTAAAATAGTGCGACGAGTAGTCCAGCGTCAGGAAAAGCTCCTTTTGACTAATTCTCGTTTTTAAAGTTTCATAATAAAAGTTTAGTAATTCACCTGGTAAATCGTTCAGTGATAAATGATATCTGGGAATCGACTGAAAGTTACATATAGTTAATCAGGCTATGAAGTCACTAACCACTTGTATAGAAGCATAGGTTCTTTGGCTGTAGTTTGTAATATACCGGAATCCAGTAGTGTGATATAAAATAATGTATAGCTGGGCTAGTGTAGTACAGTTACCATTCTTTTTCTGAGATTCTACTGGATCGTTTAACGCTCTGACCAATCTACTAGTTTTTACTGATAAGTTGACAAACTTAATATTTATCTCACAATTTCTGTATGCTTTAAGTCAATAATTGAGCCTAGTTATGGGAGGTCAAGTACCAAAAGTTCGAACTATGGAACTTTGTTTCCAGCAGTAGTAGTGGACAACCTTGCCGGACACCACTTGAGGTTGAAAAATCAGATGACAGTTCTCCATTGGCTCTGACTTTATTGGCGGTATTTGAGCTAAGAGCTCCCACAAGGTTTGTGTACTCTTGAGGTACACATTTCAATGAAAGACACTGCCACAGAGTCTCTCGGTCTGCAAAGTCAAATTCTGCCTTTAAGTCACTAAAAACCATCATTGTTCGACTGTGGTAAGCTGTCTTTGTTCTAAAATAACACGAATGGTGAATATGTGATCGTGGCAGTCACGACCAGGCCTGAAAATGACCTGGTTTTCTCGTATTAGTAGTTCATCAGTTTTTGTTAGATACTCGATATTTATTGAGGCTAGTATGTTAGAAACTCTATTAGTCAAAATAATCCCTTTGTGGTTATCACAGGATGATTTGGATCCTTACTTATATGTTAGGACGACCGATGATTGCAACCAGTCAGATTGGATTAGGTCTAGTTCCCAGATCTTAGCTAATATATTAGTCATCTTAGTCTCTAAAACTGAACTACCATCCTTAAAGACCTCTAGAGTTAATCAATCTGGATCAACTGCTCTTTCTCGTTTCAAATTAGCTATGGCTTGGAGGACAAATGACTGATGCGTTCCAAGAGAGCAATGTTATTAAACAAGGCTGCTTACTTCATCATTCTTTTTCTTCTACTAGTCGACTAGATTATGAAGGCTTTCACATCTCAAAAGGAAGCACGGAATGCAATGAACAGCCTGCATGCGGCTAGACGATTTGGAATTCGCAGATTAACTAGCTCTTCTATCCCATACACACCAACAAATCCAGGTCAGGACAACCAGTCTAGCAGCAGTCTACGAAGTAGTAGAACTCAACATACATAAAGCAAGATCTTCAAATACAACATCACGCTTGATGGAGAAACTCTGGAAGAGATGGAAACGTCCATTTATTTGGACAGCATAATCAATGAACAAGGAAAATCCGATTCAGATGTAAAGGCAAGAATTGACAAAACAAGGGCCGCATTCCTACAGTTCAAGAACATACGGAACTAAAAACAACTGTCTGTCAGCCAACATCAAAGTCACAATCTTCAATACGAAAGTCGAAACACTTCTGCTGTGCGGTGCTGAAAATTCGAGAACTACCACAACCATCATCAAAGAAGTAAAAGTATTTCCAGACATTTGTCTATGCAAAATACCCAATATTCATTCACCGGATACCATCAACAACAGCCTTTTATGGGAGAGAGCAAGCCATCTTCCATCTGATGAGGAAATTAGGGAAACGCACTCCAAGTAGATAGAACATACGTTACGGAAATAATCAAATTGCATCACGAGGTAAACACTAACTTGGAATCCTGAGTGGAAAAGTGGAAGGCCAAAAAACCATACTGTGTCGAGAGTTTGAGACAGACATCAAAAGGATGAATAGTAACTGGAAATAAGTGGAAAGGACAGAGATGAATGAAGAATGTTGGTGTCTAGCCTATGCTTCTTGAGGAAGGGTTGCCCACACCATGGAAGGGTTTTTCTGGAGGTATCTCAAAAGGAAATCCGGTTAGAGTTGATATAATCGACATGCGAGCGTGACCGCGATGCGTAAAAGATAACTGCCCAAGACCGGTCACACACGACCATTTTGTGGGTAATTTTTGTGTTAGCTCCGTACTTATTGAAACCTTACCAACGCAGGCGGAAATCCGTTGGATAAGGTGAAGTGTGCATTTTACAGCGTCGACCTTTTGTAACTCTACTCTTCCTTTTTAGGAAGGCAACATTGCTGTTTTACTGGTTGTCTAAAGGAAAAACCATACTTCCGTCACACTTCTGTACATTCAGCAGTACAAGTTTGTCCCCGGACCTTGGGTTTGCTGCTTTTATTCTCACCGCTTTTCAACTGGCTTGCCTGGCATGGTAGAACCTTGAGAAACGATTGTTCCAGGCAGTATAGCTCAATTGCTTTATCACGATAGGCAAGCCCGACCACCACATCAAGGTAGTAGCAACGGTTGGGTCTTATCAGAACTCTAGAAATCCCTCTCGAAACTAGACAGTTGTCAGTATACAATTTTTGTGCAAAAAACGCAAAGATTGTTTGATTTGATATTTGTTTTTGCTGTGCAACGTTATAGGTTGATTAAAGTTGAAAATAAAGACAAATAAAACCCAACTCATCGGTCTGAATGTCAAGTGCTTGTTATGTAACTTAAAGGTATGGGATCAAGTCCCATGCTAAGACTATATATATTCATTGATTTAATCTTATTGTATTTTGTAAATCGTCCAGATGAACCATCAGTGGGAGGCTTATTTATCGATTAGCCATTCATTAATAATCTTAATCATTAATTGAAGTAAACTCATATAAAGCAAAATTAATATTCAGTTAATACACCTTATCATGGTTGAGCTTATTATTAATCCCACTTATATGATGGATTCTTTAAGAATAATTAATTAAGTAAAGCGTAACACTTCAGATTCTGACGGGAATTCATTTTTACAACTTTATTTATATCAATATCTGAGGCATATTAATGAACTGATGTGAAAAAACGTATTTGATCATCCTTGATTTACTTAATAAATTCTTCCAGTTAACTGAAATTGATCAAATACAGTGAACTATTACCATGATGACATAATTAGGTAGGGTTCTTTTAGAACTTAATGCGTCAATATTTCTTTAGCTAAATCTTGGACATTTAGACTGTTCTTTGTAGCAAAACATATGATGCGTATTTCTGACTATTTAGGATTCATCAGCTGGGTATATCTGCACCTTAATACAGATGATCACACTATAACTAGAACCCGATACCTATTGTTTCAAACATCGATGAACTATTTCACTAAGCTATTAAGTCCTCATATTCACTAACATGTTCAATAGTTATGAAGTTATCTGTAATGTGTCTAATAGCATGTTGGAATTTGTTTATTTTATTTATCTAAACACATAAACATTGGCATAAGGATGTATCAAATATATCTGTGCCGTACAAATAATTCGTTTTTTGTGGGGGTTGAAATTGTGCCAGGGAGCCCTAACTGAAGCAGGCGTCCGATACAAATGTTGACATTTGAGGTGATAGAGGTATTAGTTTTAAACGCTATTTCGATTATCACCACAGAGTTGAGGATAAACCTAGCTGATTAGATTTGCACTAACAAATATTCTGTGTCCTAACTTTCATTATTAACCATGCATCAAAAGTACTACGTACTTTTAAGTAGAAGGTAAATTCAGTTCAGTATGGATACACGTCAATGGAGAATGACAGATTTTGTTACTTGTTTTCAGTAAAATGACAACACAACTTACTTCAAATAAATAATATTTGAAATGGTTTTTTATGAATAATTAAATAAAAGGTACCAGTTATTTGTACACTTTCTAAACTAAAATTACTTCTCCTAACCTTGAACTGTGGCTTTTTCTGTAGAGAGGAATTACAAAAACCATTTGAAATGCTAAAAACGAAATATAGAAACTATAGGCGATGATAGGCAATAGGTATCAGTGGACTTGAGAACGCGCGTTACGTTCTATTTAGGACTCGTCAACTGGATGTACTTGCATCCCAGAGTTGATGTTCACTACGGAACTGTTCGCTTCAAACGCCATTGCGTTATCCATTTAGCTACTGAGTCCTGTTAGCCAATTGCTTGTGCAATGGGATGAATTTTAAATTCATTTGGTATTGTTTACTTGAATCATCTCATTGATGTTTAGGACTGCAATTAATCAGTCTGTTGTCGGCATATGTGCATATTGTGAGAATTACCTCGATGTTGCCTAAAGTCACAAGCATGATATGCAGAAATAATGGTGGCTAGCAGTAGAATGCACGACGTGCGTTTCGTTCTATTCATGGCTCGTCAACTGGGTGTACCTGCATCTCAGGGTTGACATATATCTCAAGAAGAAATTGATCGATTTCAGTCCCAGACATCAATGGGAAGGTTCAAGCAAATAATACCAAGTGAATTTAAAATATAGAAACACTTAATTCAGTGAAATAGTATGTGTTTCGAACATGATTTATTTCAAATTTTGTAATTTCTTAATGATAATGTCTTGTGTATTGGATTCTGAGGCTGACGTAGTCATTTATGTAATCATATGATCAAGTATATCAGAATATGATATCAGTTAAAGGTGATTATATTCAGTGTTTCAGATTTCAAATATTTATTTATTTTATTTATTTGAACACATAAATATTGGTAAAAAATGAGCACCGAATACATATACGCCACACAAGTCACTTGATTTGTGTGCGGACTGTGATACTGCCCAGGTGCCCAAACCGAAGTAGGTGGTTTTCTTAGGAGGCCACATACAAAGCATTCGACCTGAAGGTCTGATCCACAAGGCAATCGAGGAATGTCAGGAGATGCAGTCCCATGGTAGCCGGTGACCAAGAATTGGTTCATATGCCGTTTGTTCCTTCAGGATACTGGAGTCCATGTACACCATTGGTTTAGAATCAGGGTTTTTCAACTCTACTAGGTGGAACTTCCGTACTCACCAACCTGGTTAAATCTCCGTACATTCACTTTTCGTTCTCTCAATTTCGTAAATAATACCCTCGCCACGAGAAGGTAGTAAGTAGGACTTCCCTGACAGTGGTTGTATACGAGCATTTCGAGAGGGAGAGAGAACTGACTCTCCACATCCTCGGCTATACCAGGATATTTGAGGGCTTTCAAATATTTATCATGTTATCCATTCTGAAATCAACATATTTCACTGGAAACATAACAATAAGCATTTCATCTCTTTTCATAACTATTTTTCTCTCTTTTCTTGGTTTTAGATATACAAAAACTAATATAACTGAAGAAAAATCATCATTCATGCCTATTCAACATTTTCCTTTGGAAACAACTAATTGTACTCCATCACCATCAATTCGAATAACCAATGGAACTGGATGTAAAGTATTGATTGCTATTACTGTTCCAACACGTAATTGGAAAGTGAGTTACTGGTACTACTGTTATTACTGTCATTATTATTATTATTATTATTGGTTACTATCATCATCTGGACAGTATTTTTTGTATGTTCTTATACTTTGTGTTATTCGTCTTATTTAAATGTATCATAGTCAAGAATTACGGTTGTTTCCATTCTACTATAGAATGAATTGAAGGCATAAGTTTTGTTATATTGTCATTTTTCTTGTATCATAACTGATTGCTTTATACTTGACACATTTGTAGTATGATAGAGTGGTATATTTTGTTGTAGAAAACGTTTCATTCTTTATATAAAGAAGTAAAAATGAAAAAGAGCAAAGTAATTCCTACTTCATTTTTGTTGGCTCCCAGGTGCAAAGTCAAAGTTTCGAATAATAGTGGAGTTGATCATCACCTTACATTTGATAATTTCCCCAAATGCTCTGATACGGCCAAGAGTGGGGGAGAATCATCTCTTCTTATCAAAATGCTCTCACATGGCCATGTGCATACAACCACTAATAAGTGTTAGCTGATGTATAGGGTAAATTAGAAAAGATCTAGATATACACCATTTCAATATGCTATCTACATCGTAACTTTAATGTTCTCATTGAAATTTTAATAGTTTTACTCATTTATAATCCATGTATTTCATCTTTCTATGATTCATTAATGAACAATTCTAAGAAGTTTTCTTCGATGAGACGATCTTTAAGAGACTTCCAAATGACTTTGAGAATGTCTACCAATTTACTAGAGGTAAATGAGGATTATAAACATGTGTGAAGAACAAAGATAACGATTTATAATTGATGGTTAGGTTTAAGAGTGAGATTTATCAGTTTCATCATGAACTGACATCATCTAAAATGTCAAGACTCTATTTAACCAAATTGGATGAATAAATTTTGCGCCAAAATCTATGACCTTTTATCCTAAATCTGATTGGTTTGTCCATAAATTCTAATCCCACCATCCATGTGTTTATTAAAACTATTTATCAAGTTGATCATATTTTAGTATATCAAGAAAACAAACATATCAAATTTCAATCATTCTTGGCATAAGTGAATATTTGTATAGTTTACATTGACTGGCCTTGATATAATATTTAATTATTGATAGAAGTGTATTAAAAAGTGTATATATATACGTATTATAATGTGTATAGATGTTATTAGTTTAGCCAACAGTTTCTAGTCCGTCAGAAAGAAGCTGGGTCTATTGTGAGATAGTAGCTCATGGACGAAGACAATGGTGAATGTATCACTCCAGGCGGAGTTATTCAAACTTTGGATCACCAAATTCTTTTCTTTTTTTTTAAGAAAACGTTTGTTATAACTCCTTTCCATATTCAACAAATCAAACACAAAAAATAGACTGTTTTGTGTTATTTTTTACAAACGGAATATATGAAGTCTACTACTGCAGAGTTAGATAGTTTTTAATATGTATAATTGAGAATACTTACTTACTCACTTACTTACTTACGCCTATTACTCCTCGTGAAGGAGCCTAGGCTGCCTACCAGCACTCTCCAACAAACCTTGTCCTGATAATGTAAACAGGTTATTATTACATTTGAGGCTGATGAATATAAATGAACTTTCTGTCAAGGTCACTGTTATGTATCAGTTCGATAGTAAAAACATAAGAGTAAGTGGCGAGATGCCTTGTTTGATCTAAGTCCCACACAAGTTGGAACTGATTAACGAAGTGCATTCAGATTCTTGTGGTAATTAATAGTCCCAATGTGGTGACGAATAAACTGTTGGGGTCAAAACTAGCTTCCTGTCGGATTGAGATATCTACAATTGAGTGATCAAACAATTTCAAACCTAATTTTATTATTAAAGCTTGTGTGTGTGTGTGGATACAACTCTAAAGTCAATATGGAATTTTTTCTAGGAGTTTCAAGAATTCTAACTCATACTTATGCCTGTTACTCCTCTTGGAAGAGAATAGGCTGCCCATCAGCACTCTTTATCCAACCCTGTCCTGGGCAATCCTTCCCAGTTGTTATTCATCTTTTTCATATCTGCTTCCATTTCCCGACAGTGTCTTCGTCTTTTCTGCTTCGCTTCAGGATTTCAAGTTAGTGCTTGTCTCTTAATGCAGTTTGATGATTTCCTCAATATACATCCTATTCAACTTCAGAATCTTTTCCGAATTTTCTAATCATATCGGCTCTGATTTGTTCTCTCTCACAGTAGGCTGTCACTGATGGTATCCGGCCAATGGATATGGGGTATTTTGCATAGACAATTGTTTAGAAATGGTTGTACTTCTTTGATGCTAGCTGTGGTAGTTCTCGAAGTTTTGGCTCCGTATCGTAGGACTGTCTTGCCGCTCGTATTAAAGATTGTGACTTTGATGTTGGCTAAACGACAGTTGTTTTTAGTTTCATATGTTCCTCAATTTTTGGAATGCTACTCTTGCTTTGCCGATCCTTGTTTTTACGTTTGTCTCGGATTCTAAGTTTTAATCGATGATGCTGTCCAGGTACGTAGAAGATTCCACCTATTCCAGAGTTTCTCCGTCAAGTGTGAATGATTGGAAACTCTTGTAAAGACTGAACAGATGTTTCGCCTAAATTTGACACTCCAGAAGAGTACTTATTCGTAATTTTATATTGCGAGGATCGGCAAAGCAAGTGCCTTATCCTACAACTAAAGAACATATGGAACTAAAAACAACTGTTTCTCAACCAATATCAAAGTCAAAATCTTCAGTACGAACGTCAAGACAGTTCTACTGTATGGAGCTGAAACTTCGAGAACTACTACAACCATCATCAATGAAGTACAAGTATTTATAAACAGTTGTCTTCCCAAGTTACTCAACATCCACTGACCAGATACCATCAGCAGCAGCCTACTGTGGGAGAGAACAAACCACCTTCCAACTGAAGAGGAAATTAGGAAAATTCGATGGAAATGTACAGGACACACATTACGGAAATCACCAACCTGTATCACGAGACAAACCCTAATATGGAATCTTGAAGGGAAGTAGAAAAGAGGAAGGTCAAAGAACACATTACATCGAGAAATGAAAGCAGATATGAAAAGGATGAATAACAACTGGAAATAACTAGAAAGCATTGTCCAAGACACGGTTGGATGGAATGTGCTGGTGGGCGGCCTATGCTCTTACACAAGGAGTAACAGGCATAAGTAAGTAAGCAAATAAGTTGTATTGCATCAAACTTGATAGTTAGTCAATGAAACATTTACATCAATATGTAAAGGTTTATGACTGATATCAGTTCGAAGAATGAGCGTCGATGATGTTGATGATGATGATGACGATGACGTTGATGATGATGATGATGATGATGATGATGATGATGATGATGATGATGATGATGATGATGTTGTTGATGATGATGTTGATGTTGAAGTTGATGATGATGATGATGATGATGTTGATGTTGATGATGATGATGTTGATGTTGATGATGATGACGTTGATGATGATGATGATGATGATGATGATGATGATGATGATGATGATGATGATGATGATGATGACGTTGATGATGATGATGATGATGATGATGATGTTGATGTTGATGATGACGATGACGTTGTTGATGATGATGATGATGATGATGATGATGATGATGACGTTGATGATGATGACGATGACGTTGATGATGATGACGATGACGTTGATTATGATTTACATCTGACATTTACTGTAAATTACTTCATTTGCTCTTTTTTTTTCATTGAATACATTTTATATCATGTGATAATAAAACAAAAACCCATGAATAAACTAATAATATTTTACTGAATCATTTTTATATGATACATTTTTGGTTGACATTTAACTGACAAACAATTAATTATACAATAGTACTGCTAATCATTTAGTGTAATCCAAAAAAATAAAGCACTTTTTTTCTCGCACCACTATAATGTTTTAAGGCACCATTTTATTGATTACTTTAACAAATGAGTTACTCCTTTTTTGATTTTACTTACTTACCCTTGTTACTCTTCATCAAGGAGTATACGTTGCTCACCAGCATTCTCCATTTTATCTATAACAAAATAGATTATAGTAATTGAATTTAACATTTGAACATTTAATGAGGAAAAAAAGTGTATTTCGAGAAATTACGAAATTATGATCACGAACCGATTGGTATTAGACCACCATTCAAAACATTGGAAGCCGTGATCAGTGGAGTTAAAGCGTGTCGGGTAGAGACAGATATCTACCTCAGAACAATCGAAGATGGTCGCGCAATTTCCTGGATTAGTTGAAGTTAGACATTAACATCGTTGGATGCCGGCAAGCTCAATAATCTAGAGGTTAAACGTTTGCGTACAAGACCGATAGGTCCTCGGTTCTAATCTCGTTAGGCATAATCTTGAATGTGCACTGCCAAGGGCGAGCCCCACAATAGGACGAGATGGTCGTTCATTGATTCCAGGTTTTCCATTGTGGTCTAGTTTCAATTGACTCACGATCTCAACTAATAAAAAATGACTATAATATCCACAAAACTCCTTCTGATTTAATTAAATTAACGAATGAACAAAATCATTGTTTATTTAGACCAACTAAACATTGACAGAAATCAATTTGAAAGTTAAAGATATTATCGTAGAATTGAACAGAGATAAAAACTTTGATAATTCCATGTTATTCTAATTGAGTTAAAACCAATATTAGTATTTTAAGAACTAATGTAATTTAATAAACTTACTAAAAGATGTTTACATCATACAACTTCCACTGAAGCCCGCTAATGCTTTGGTACGATTCAAAGTAAGGAGACTTAGATCTCTTTCTTGGAATCCTCTGAAATGGCCGCGCAGATAAAACCACTGTCAACGAAGTACTTCTTACTGCCTTCTTGCGGTAAGGATGCTATTTACAAAATTGAGAGAATAAAAAGCAAATTTCTGACGCTCTAACCGAGTTGGTCAGTACTGAGTATCTATCTAGGAAAGTTGAAAACCATAATTATAAACCAATGACGCATGTGGGCTTCAGGA